CCCCGGGGGCAATTAGCCCCTCTTACCGGAGGATCGCGGCCGCTTCCGGTCGTGATAGTGGTTTCTGATCGGTGCAACAACCTGCCTCGTTTCACCAACGTCGTCTCGGACAATAGGTCTGGATGGGTCTCTCCGTGGGCCCGGCTTTACCTGGTCGGAGGGAGAGTACGGTTGACGAAAAAAGGAAGGGAGGGGGAGGGAAACGGGGCCTGTGTGGTGTCGCAGCGAGCAGATTAATGGTCCCGGGGAATTCTTGGTAGTCTATACGAGAGAGAGACTATCTTCCTTCTTGTTCCCTGTGTGCGTGCATGCGTGCATCCAGTGCCAGAAGGTCGTGCGTAAACCAGAAATAAGCCACCCACGATAGGAAATTTCATTGGAAGGCCGAGCGAAGAATGTCGAATATACGTGTCCATATAACATGTTCTAAGGTTGGATGGTGGTTTCGTTTTTGGCAGTGGTGGAAAATATTCTTGGAAATTGATGGAGATGCACGGAAATATCGTAGATATTGTAGATAGTACGATACATGTGTTGTCTATCTAATGAATTTAGGAGTATCAGTGATCGATGAATATTCAAGGATGTTGTTACTTTTTGGGTCGTTTTAACTCATAAGCTCGCGTGGAGAGAGAATTTTCGAAGGATATTTGTTTAATTCTTTCTGAAAAAATAGAAACTACTTAGAAGAGATTTTTAAAAATTAGAATTTTTTAATTGAAAATATACAACGCGTGTTTAACCTCTGTCCCTCTTGAATCATAAAATTTTCTATTCTTCTTTTTCTTTCCTCATTTTCCTATGGAAAATTAGCAAGAAATCTTTGTTCTTGAAAATTTGTGCGTTTCGCTCAGACTAAATAGTCTTGACGAACAATGAAATAAAACAAAATGGAGATTCGTCATTCGTTTTCTCCAAAAATTTTATTACATGTAAGGGGGAGAGGTAGACTTCAGGTAATATTCTCGAAAAGAAATGAAGGGAAACTTTGTTATTTTCCGTTAGATGTGGAGGATACCTGGAATTTCCACCGCTTTGTAAACGGTCGCCTTCGGCGACCTGCCACTCGGACAATGATACCTCTTGTCTCAAACTCTACCTGCGTGGCAAGTACCGAGTTACCTGAGTCTCTGTCCTACTCTCCTTAGGCCGCGGTTAGGGCCTCGTTATTAGCTTAGTACCGTTTCAGACCTGTTTTCACGCCGACAATATATATATCGAGTGCAGGCCCCTTCGAAAGAAATTTCCACGTGTTCCAAACACATGTGTCCAAGGGTGAGTTTGCTTGGCCAAAGAAGAATTTTTCGTGCCCCTAATTTTGAACGAGCTTGTTATTTTTCGTAAAAGTTTTAATCTATATATATAAGTGTTGCATTCCAATGTAGAATAATATTTTTAGAAAAGCTTCGATGGTGTTAAATACAATAAAGTTACAAGGAAACAGCAAAGTTAGAAGAAATTAATTATTATCTCATCGTCGAAAGTTTTGCAACTTCTCTTGAAACGAAGAAGAAGAAGAAGCATATACATAGTTTTAGTTAATTAATCAGTTTTAAATATTATATAATAATGTTTAAAATGTAAAGTTTAAAATATCCTTGTCGTCGTGTTACGTTGATGTAATGGATAAAAAATATGTATTGTAAGAGAATTGGAAATTATTCTCGTTATGTTTTATTTTTTTTACAAAATTCTGGGTCATTTTTACCCTCTCTTCGAAACGGTGAAACGAAACTGATGGTGTCCAACGAAGATCGAGGGCAACGAAGTCAGGTTTTTTTTCTTGGCCAATATCTTTGCAGAGAGTTATATATATTTTTTCGACGAGTTCATCTTCCTCGTCCATTTCGCCCGTTGCATCTTGAGAACATGAAATTTCTTTACTAGTTAAATATCCATTCGATTACTTTTTAATCTTAAATTACTTTCACAGTTTATTACATCGTTACGGTCATTTCGAAATTAGAATTTTTCCCGAAGAGAACGATCGTGGAAAGTTCACCATTTCTTTCCTCCTAGAATTTTGGATGGAAACAAGTAATCCAATAGTAATTCAAATAAGAGAATTTTTGTAGAAAATATTCCCTGTAAAAGGGGGTGTGAAAAAGGGGAGGGGGAGGGAGGGAAGAAAATAAGGTTTGTACTACAATGCAGCGCACGAGATATGGTCGTTTTCGCACGCGCCACGCGTCAAGGTGGATAGACCATCCTTCTTCATCACGTCGTACAAATGTGTTCAACTTGACCCTGAACACGATAAATTGGACTTTTGGTCTTCTCCGATCTTAGTAGAATAAATCCTCGACTGGTTCCTTGGATCCACTGGTGATTTAGAAGGTTGAACTGCTTTTCAATAGACGATGATACGATGTTCACCAAGTTGTCCCC